AAACTAAGCTCCTGGTGAACAGGAACTGAGTCTCCTGTTTGCAGTTCTGCCATTGAGTAAGGGTTGGGGACCTTTGTAAAGGTATAAAAAAAAAAGGTGTGTGTGGAGGGGTGGGCACACAGTCAGCCTTATCAGCCTATACTGAACAACTGAGCTTCAAAAAAAGATTAAATAAAAACACAAGTTCCTCTCTTTCAGCTGAAATGATTATGCAGAGCATCATGTGATGATCAGTCACACAGTGGGCACAGACACAGGTTGCAAGTTTGGGGAGGACACTATTGCAACCCTGCAGGTTCTTTTTATTCACTTTGATTTATGCTGTGCTCTCAGCCCCCCGAAAATCCTTCAGACCAACCTGAGGATTGTGCTTGCTCTCTCAGAGCACGAGGTATTGCATGATGGTACCAGTGTTCTGTCTTTTCTAAAAAGTCATACTAATAAATGGGGAGTTGTTGCCTACATTATTCAAAATCCAGTGGGCATTTCACTCAGAGGAAGGTGTTAAACCTTTTAGAATAGGATTTCTCAATGAGAACTATTTCATGATGTGAAAGGAGATTTTTAGAGATTTAATCTAAAGGAAATAATCTCTAAACATAATTCTAAAAATATTTTTAAAAGATGTAATAACATCTTTATGTATAGTCTATTATTTATTTGGAGAAAGATAATCTGAAGAAGAAACATTTTTATTTCCCGTTTTTCTCTATATTTTTAGACAATTAATTCTAAAATATCTGACTAATACAGAATATATGTGTAAACAATCAAAGTTGATAGAAACTCTATCATTGAAAATATTTAGCATCTATAATGCCTGTTTTTATGTTTAATTATGAATAGCTTTATTTTATATAACATTTTCCTTAGAAACATTATATATAAATGTAACATTATTAGTACTATATAATATTATATATAACAATATATAGTAAGATATATAGTTTTTCCATTATGTATAAGACTGTATTTCATAGTTTTATTTTGTTCTCTTCATTCCAAGCATTTAGTTACTATTTGGATTCCTAATGAGAAAATTACACTGGAAAAAAATATGATATAATGAAAAAAATGAATAATGTAAGCACATAAAACTATCTTGGAAATAAAGTAGAACCTCAGAAGATATTATTTTTCCAAGTAATGCATTTCCACTTATTGAAAGTTAATCAAATATGAGATTTTTGCCTCAAATGAAACCTCTTCAAGAAGCCTTCCCTTGAACTCTAGTTTTCACTTGAAGATTATCTCTTTCCTCCAAATTCCTTGGTACTTTGTTAAGAGTTTTATGATAAAACATCACTTCTGCCTTTAATTAGTTGTGTATATATATTGCATTTACATTAGCAAAACTAACAATAGTATGCAGCACAACCTATTATACATATAAATTGCTCATTTTTACTTTCTAGAAAGAAAAATTGAATAAATTGACAGGGGATATAATGAGCTATAATATGTATAGCTAAAATCAATTAATATTTAAAGTAAATTATGAAGTTAAAAACCTGCATAAAAATAAGAAACTTTGGACACTGGCCTTTGTTTTGGCCTTGATGAAGACCAGGTTGGACTTTTTCCATGGTGGGATGGATGGGGATGGGACATTGGAAACCCTGGGGCAGCCTTCTATGTCCACCCGAATACATCTTATCATACCACAATCTCCTGAACGTGGGTCCACGAAATGCTTTCCTCATGATCCCATGAAAGAACATGATTTCCACAGGAGCATCATTGCTTTCAAATACATTTTCTCTTTTATACTTTAAAACAGCCCTTTGGCTGAGAGCACTCAACAAGGTTAAGGTCACCAAGGCAATAAATAGTAGTGTCCACACAAAATCTGTCCAAACAAGTCTTCTAACTCTAATTTTCCCAATGAAAAAAACTGAGAAAGAACTACGTAGACAAAAAGGATTTAGTAAAAGGCAGTGACAAATAGCAAAAAAGAAAATCATTTTCACATTTAATGGTATAGCTGTTATTTCAAAAAATTAAATCTTACATTCCTCTGGGATGATAGGTTAAAAAGAAAACACTTTAGGTGAAGAGAGCTCAACCTAGGCATTTACATTACAACCAGCTATCCAAACTCAATAAATAAAAAAGAACCAAAGTCTATTTTTCTAATAGAGTCTCACATAATGACACAGGTTAGCAAATAACCTGTCTCCTAATGAATAGCTTCTAGAATTGATGAGTGGCTCAAGAAAACTCAGTTTCTACATCATCTCCAATAAACTTGAGATATTAGAAGTAAACTGGACTTCAGTTTGTACATGCATGCACTACAGCAAAATAACGTGTATACCATACTCTTATTTTAATTACATATATCTGTCCATACAGGCATTTAAGAAGAATATTTCACCACTATGTTCTTAGTAGTTTTATTTACAATAGCTAAGATTTGGAAACAGCCCAAATGGCCATCAGTAGAGGAATGGATAAAAAAAGCTGTGAGACATTTACACTATGGAATACTATGCAGATGTAAAAATGAGGGATCTCTTACCCTTTGGGACAGCATGGATGGACCTGGAAAATTATTATGCTAAGTAAAATGAGCCAATCTGGGAAAGACAAATATCACAGGAGCTCACTTATTTGTGGAATCTAATGCACAAAATGACTTGACCAACAAAATAAGACCTGAAGCATGGAGGCGTGGAATAGACTGACATACCGTGATGTGGGGTTGGGGGGATAAGAAGAGATAAACTTGCCCTAGCTGGTTTGGCTCAGTGGATAGAGCATTAGCCTGCTGACTGAAGGGTCCCAGGTTCAATTCTGGCCAAGGGCACATGCCTGGGTTGCAGGCTCGATCTCCAGTAGGGGGCGTGCAGAAGGCAGCCAATCAATGATTCTCTCTCATCATTGATGTTTCTCTCTCTCTCTCCTTCTCCCTTCCTCTCTGAAATCAATAAAGAAATATATTTTTTTAAAAAAAGAAAAGATAAACCAAAGAACTTACATACTTATATGCATAGTCCATGAACACGGGCAAAAGGTTAGTGAAGACCTGGGGAGGTGAGGAGGATCTGGGAGGAGAGGAGTAAAGAGGGGGCGGGGGGATGGAAGACATCTGTAATACTATCAACAATAAAAATACATTTTTAAAAAAGAAGCATATTTTATTAACATGGTCGTACTTATAAATATGAAAATATGGCCATATCACAATTATTATATGGTTCCAGTCTACTTCAAATAGATTCAGGTTTGTTAATATTAATCAAATGGAATTCAACCTGAATTTAATTATTAGTTTTAACTCAAGTGAACAATCCTCCAAAAGCCTTTTCATAAATATCTTGGTATTGGCATATTTCTGGGGCTAGAAATTATGGTCCAGTCTTCCTCTCATTAATTAATTAGTTTTCTACCATTAGACAATGGGCACAGGAAACCTCCCTCTGCAGCTAAGATGTTATCGCTGCGGAAGAGCTCGGTAAATGCCTGAGTTCTCAAGGCCAGTAGAGCTGTTTGCTGTGGAAAGGCATTTTTTCCAATGTTTCTGGGCACACTGAAAACAAACAAGGGGAGAGATCCCCTTCTTTAATAAATTTTGATTGACGGTTCTTGTGAGCTGAGTGTGGTCATATGGTGCCTAGTCCTGGCTGGCTCTGTCTGAAATAACAGACCGTGTGGTTTGAAAGCCTTACTTAAATGTTCTGCCATTTTATTATTGGCAAGAGACAGAATTTAAATGAAATGTCAGTCAGGTTTCCATGTTTTCCTCTGCAGCTGCAAGCTTCAGCTAAAAATTCTCTACCCTAACTACATCATCTAGATTTTTATGAATCCTATAATCTAAATTCAAGCATTTCAATTTTCTTCAATATTTCAGGGCCCTGATGTATAAAAAAAAGCTGTAGTGGCAAGTGTCAATTCTAATTCATATATATAACATAAACACCCCCAATAGAGTTCTCTTTTCAGTTTCTATGAAATAGTATCCAATTCCTAAAATGCTTATTGTTTATTAAGAAGATACTAGAGGCCTGTTGCACAAAGATTTGCGCAATAGGCCTTCCTTCCCCTGGCTGCCAGCACCGGTTTTCCTCCGGCACCCGGGACCCAGGCCTTTGGTCCGGCCGCAGCAGCGAGGCTAGGCTTCTCCACTCTGGCTGCAGCGGAGAAGCCAAGCCTCTACAGTCTTCACTCAGCGCCTGCATATGCAAATTAACCATCTTTGTTGGGTTAATTTGCATACTCATCCTGATTGGCTCGTGGGCATAGTGGAGTGACACCAATTTGCATGTTTCTCTTTTATTAGTATAGATGTATTTGCCCTGGCCAGTGTGGTTCAGTTGGTTGGAACATCATCCCGTACACCAAAAGGTTTCAGGTTCTATTCCTTGTGAGGGCATAAATCGGGGTTGCAGATTCTGTTGGTGTTTGGGGTGGGTGTGAGAGGCAACCAATCAATGTTTCTCTCTCACATCAATGTTTCTCTCTCTCTCCTCTCTCTAAAAATCTATGAATATAGCCTCAGGTGAGCATTTTTAAAGAAAAAAGATATATATTTATTTGATTATCACATTTTCCTATTATTGTTTCTAAGATCTACATTTTCTAGATGAATAACAGATACCAAATAATAGAGAATAGATTTTTAAAATTCAACCAAATTTGCTCTCTGCAAGTAACATACAATTAACTTTTTTTTCCTCAAAGGTATTTTTAATTTTTCAATTATAATTTACATTCAATATAATTTTGTATTAGTTTCAGGTGTATAGCATAGTGACTAGACATTCTAATATTTACAAAATGGCCCCTTCAGTATTTCCAGTACCCATCTGGCACCATATGTATTTATTACAAAATTATTGACTGTATTCCTTATACTCTACTTATAGATATATGTGTACATCTTACATGTAGAATGTACTTACGTACTTTTGTTTTCATTTATTGGAAAAAATGTTGAAATCTTTTGTGCAAATTACTGCAATCTCTTTCTCATGAACTCTTCCCACCAGGCGCAAGGAACCATTTTCCCGGCTCCCAATTTCAACCCCATCATGGATGCCCAAATGCTGGGGGGAGCGCTCCAAGGATTTGGTAAGCCTGACCATTTCTATCATCTTTTATAATAATTACTTTTTGCTTTACCTTATTTTAAGACTGTAATATGGGTGTAAATATCTGATGTCTAACAGAAGACAAACACTTTTTTAAAATCTGGGCAAAGAAGTAGAATAAGAAGAAAAATAATAGACTAGGACAATAATGGTGAAGATGTTTGTGTCACTCAATTGCAAATCTGATCTTTACATGTTTTTGCCTTAAATCCTTAGATGTCTCATCGCTAACTACTAAATGAAATCCCGAGCCCCCCAAAAACCTCATTCTGGCATAAAACATCCTTCTTTGCCCTTGTTTTCTTTCTAGCCTGTTTCTTTTGCTACTTCTACTTCTAGCTAAACCAAACTTCCTGCTATCACCACAATTGAAGGTACTTTTCCACATCTCTATAAACTGGCCCAATAACCCCCTCCCTTGAATGCTGTTTAATTTACATCCAAATTTTTTTCCTTTAAGAATCTCCTCAAATGACTCTTCCTCTTTGAATCGTTCTTTGGGAACTCCAAACACAACCAGAGATGTCGAACCCTGGGCACCCTAATCTCATTGTACGTGTCCCTTTTGTCTCCCTTAGGTCCCTGAGCTCCCAGAGCTTTGAGTCTGGAGCGCAGGTCATTAATAAATGGATGGTCAATGAATGAAATTAAAGTTTAGAAAAGAAATATATGGAGAAGGGAGGAAAATTGTTGGGGTCTTTAAAAACGATTTATTTTTAAGATATGATATGGTGCTGTTAAACATCCATCTATTTTCGTTAAGCAATAGCTATCCTAAGAAGACTTGTGGTGAGCATGAAGATAAACATTGGCAACATTAAAGAAAATGCTTGCATAAAACATGCACAGCCTTTCATAAGAAAGCAATCTCTTAACTTTAAAGACAAGGTCACCTTCATGAGAACTGGATTCACTTTGTGTTTTATTCACTAGCAGAACCCCATAGGAAAATAATAAAGGACTTTAAATGTCTTCTTTAAAGTCGATTGAGGAGTTTGCCTTTTAAAATATCAACAGTCACTAGAAAAAAATAGAGAGATAAGATAACAAAAAGTTATGGATTAACTTTTTATTCAGGAGAGTACTTTTTGCTTTAAAACTGTAGATCAGAGAAATCTATTCATTGAATAAAATTTTCTTTGCTCCAGTTTCAATTTTCCTGCCACTCTAATTTTAGGGACATAATATGGATTCATTGTGACCACTGTCATTTTGTTGTTGTTGTTTGTGAGTGTTTTAGGCTGAAGAAATTGAGGAAGTTTTGGTTTTAAGTGCAGTGTCCACTCTAGCAAGCCAGAGGA